CTATTTGCATCACTGACACTACTTCCCAAACTGGTGGGAAATCTAGGGTTTTGGTTTTTGTTAGTGCTGTACACTTATTATCTTACCTAGCCAAACATTCAAGGTTTTACTCCAAGGGTAACAACTAAGTTAGTAGAGGTGTATGATATATGTAAAACTATGATCCGTTGCTGGCTCCTTTATATGTTAAATGTATTTGGGATCTCCAAATAAACCCTCTAAAACACAACATTTAAAAAAATGCTATACCAAATATATCCAAATTAAGTATCCCCAAATTAAAATTGTTAATGATAGACATTTACAGGTTTGTGTACAAGGGTTCCCAGTTATAACAAGGACTGCTTAATGGTGCTGATGTAATGATGATAAGTATAATTGCTATCCTAAAATGCTATATACAGCAAAAATAACTAAACTGCTGTCAATCACCAAAATTTTTAAAATTCTAACAATGGTTGTTCTAAGTGTTCTTGTCATTTGCAGTTTGGATCCTTCTCTAAGGCATTTTATAACCAAACTCACAGAAAACATCTCTAGTGAGTACTTATTTTTCAAATATTTGTTTCTTTAAATATTTGCTGTAATTGGTTTTGTTTTGTATTTTCCTTGTAAAACTTTAACTTTTCTTTATTAATGATCTACAGAAGTACAACTTCTATCTAACAAGTTAAACTAAGGAGCATTTTTTTAAGATGCCAGACAGACAAAATTAAACTTATTGGACTTCAGGTAAGCCCAGCCTCTGGACCACACTTTCTAAACCTCTTTCTTGCCTAAATCTGGCCAAAATAGGTTTTAAGGGCACTAATTCTCATATGACCTGCCTGTCACTGCCCTCCAATGTGGGGCCAGATCAGACCAACTAGGACATCTTATCCTGGCAATGAGGAAAGACCTACTGGGACAAAGGTATCCAGCAACTGAGGGACCTTTCAAAAAAAGTTTTAAAAAGATTAAATTATTCAGACAAGATGAGAAATGGAAACTCAGGTTCCAAATGGAGTCGCTTGTGCCCTGCCCATCTGAAAGCAATGAAAACTGAGAGGTTAAAAGGAGTGATTCACAAGCTTGATGTCCATGCCTGTGTGTCTGCCTTCCAACTGGACAGAAACTCCTCTTGCCTTTCTATCACCTGCTATCTCTATTACTCCAGGAGAAACCCAGATGTTTTAACCGTTTGTTTCTTCTTGTCTCCAGGCTATAAAACTACAAATGATACAGCTCAAGGGCTAAGTCTACTAAACTCCAAGCATGGCTCCTCCTTCTTAAACACAACTACCACTGGCTATAGCCTCCAAAGAACATGCCCCTTTCTACAGGGGCCCCCTGGATCATCCATGACCTGGGATTCCAACTGACTCCATTGACAGGGGACAGGAGACCTCTGACCTAGACATATGTTCCATATCAGCAGGAAGTAGCTATAATGACTGACCACAACTCTTCTTTTCCCTAAGATTTCAGGGTCTTAGTCCCTGAGTGGGGAAATGTTTGGTAGCAATTAGCTATGAGCAATGGATGAGGCAGGATAGATAGATGAGGAGACAAAAAAATGCATTACTTTAATAAATATTTAAAGAGCCAGACTCAGACATTAAAACAAAAAAAAGTAAAACTAAAAAGCCAGAGCAGCTAGACATAAGTGATGGAGGTTAAAAAACAAAAATCATTGTAATTAACTTTCCAATTCCCCAGGTGACTGGTCTCTATTAAGATCAAGTAGCCAGAGGCCAGGGGATATCACTGGATGCTTGGAAGTGGGCTACTCACTTAAAGTTTAATCTTTTCTTTATTCAAAAGTAATGCACACACATCAGGAAGGCCTAGCACTGGTAATTTACGCAGGTAATCTCATTAACTTAACAAAGACAAAGACCCAGACCTAAGAGCTTCATCCTTGACATCTGATAGAACAAAAACTAGGAATTTCAAACAGAAATTTGCTATGGGTTAGAGCAGGAACTGGTAGTTTACACAGGTAATCTCTCTCATTTAACAAGAAAAAGACCCAAGTCCAGGAACCCATTCCCAGAGTACAAATGGCCCTAAAAGTAAGGGTTCCTCAATAAATGTTCCAACTCCAAAATCTGACATGGTCATTCACTCTAGAGGTGACCCACTTTCAGTCTATTGAAAGCGTACTCCTTTTCTAATAAAATGTGCTATTACTTGTACTATATGTTTGCATCTTGGTTGAATTCTTTTCCTACTGGATGCAAGAACCAAGGTATTTACCAATGCTATTTTTCCAGTAACACACTGACCTTCAAAGCAGGTGAGCAAAACCTCACCTCACCCCACTTTATACTCTGTGGATCTTGCATGATGGATAAAAGAACTATAAGAATTCCTTATGCATTTGTGCCCAATAGTTCAAGGTATTGGATGTTCAATAGATGTAGTGATCATCCTGGCTAGCTTTGTGATCAGCGTTTTAGTGTCTCCATAGTGTTCATTTGGAAGGGTGGGGTGAGAGATAATGATGTAGCACTTCTGTTTTTAAAAATTACTGTTTACACTAGCCAGTAGTATTTAGTTCTTAAAAGGGACTTGAGAGCCGGGTGCTGGTAGCTTATGTTTGTAATCCTAGCTACTCAGGAGGCAGAGATCAGGAGGATCAATGTTCAAAGCCATCCTGGGCAAACAGTTTGTGAGACCCTATCTCAAAAAAACCCATCGTGCGCGCGTGTGTGTGCGCATACACACACACACACACACACACACACACATACACACACACACACACACACACACACACACACAAAAGGCTGGTGGAGTGGCTCAGGGAAAGGCAGACTAGAATTAGGGAAAGTTCAGGATGCATAGAAAATATAGGACCTAATATTGCATGTGTGTGTAGGTTGTCCTCGCCCTGGCTCAGAGATGACCTAGATCATCCAAACCTGGCCAGACCACCTTTACCTGACCCAGACCACCCATGCCCCTCCCCACTCTTTGATCATTGGATGGAAATCACCTGGTTCCTCCCTTCCCGTAGGCGAGCATAAGCTTTAAAAGCACCTGGAGGAGAGAAGTATGCTCTCTTTGCCTCCAGATTCCACCTGTGCCCACCATGCTCCCTTTTGTATTTCCCTTCCCTAGCTTTTAATAAACTCCCTTTACACACCCATATGTCCTGCCATGGATTCTTCCCTATGGGACACAAGGACTTTGGAAGTCTTCTGATCACAGACTGCACTGTGCTGTTACCATTTGGCAAAGCCAGCCAGGAGAAACAGTGAGTCTCCAGAATCTCTATTTTAAAGGGTTATTTCTACTCTTTCCTTCTCTTCCCTCTGTGTCTCTGAAACCACAGCCAAGGGAATGGGCTAAGCTCAACCCTCCGGAAATACAGCAGGGAGGGGCCAGGTCCTTGTCTTTCCTTTTTTTTGACTGCCAGGTTCAGGCAGCCATGTGGCCCTGGGAAGGCGATCAGGACTACCTTAGAGCCCTGCAATGCTAACCATGGTGGCCATCACCCCAGGCATTCAGGTTGGACCCCATTTGCCCAACTCAGCCAGCTCCAAATCTTATACTGCCCCCAGGGGTGGGGATGCTTGTCTGCTGGAGCTTAACACAGGGGAAAGACACACCTGTGCCCTGCGTCCTGCCATGGATTCTTCCCTGTGGGACACAAGAACTTTGCGAAGTCTTCTGATCACAGACTGCACCGTGCACTAACAAAGGTGTAGGCCCTGAGTTCAAACCCCAGTACTGCAAAAAGTAAAAAAAAGGGACTTGAGAAATCTCCCAGGATTACTAAAAAGTTTCTTTCCACCTAATGAGATCATCTGGCAATTTCTTAGCTTTGTCTGTCTCCAACAGAAATATTTTGTGGTGGGGTCTGACCACTGATGCAGAGCCTGGGTTTCTCTATAATAAATTGCTCTGCCAAGTACAAGAGTTAGAGATGCTGGGCCCTGGTGGCTCAGGTCTGTAATCTTAGCTACTCAGGAAGCAGAGAAAAAGGAGAATCATGGTTTGAGGCCCACCTGGGCAAGACCCTATCTCGAAAAAACCCATTACAAAAAAAGAGCTGGTGGAGTAGCACAAGGTATAGGCCCTGAGTTCAAATCACAGTACCTCAAAAAGAAAAGAAAAGTTGCAGACTCCCTATAGGCCAGAATGAAGCAGGTGGATGAGTAAGACTCTTCTGTCATGGGGACATTTCACAATAGATCAGTCTTAAGGAACAAAGCCATCAGTGTACGACTGGGACTCCAGGGTTACAGTAACTCCTGCCAGGACCTGTCACACACTTCTGGGTGACAGTGTTGGCAGCATTTGAGGCTCCAGGTAGCATGCTTGCCTTTTGGTGTATTTGGGTGAGTAGCTGAGTCAACCAACAGGAGGTTGGGTGATTAGATGAGAAAGGAAATTCTTGGTTAAACCAAAGATTTCATTTGGGAACCAAAACCCTTCAGAATAATCTCTTGGGCCTTGTACCACAATATTTTCCTTGACAAGTATGCATTTGCTTGCACATAATTTTGTTTGGGGTTATGTTTTTAAACAGATGAGTATGAAGAAGTTTTAGTTCATGATACTATACTAGAAATCTGAGACCTGTGCAGATATAAATTCCAACTCTTGTTATAACTTTTTAAGCTATTGTGAAATTACCAAATGAATATGAACCAAGTCGTAATATACCGTATCAAGGGTACTAGTGACCATCAAGTTTCAAGAAATAAAGCAGGCATAGTAGTGTGCCTCTGTGAGCCCACCTATGTGAGATGCCATTGGTTAGATTGTGGCCCAGAGCAAAAACACGAGACTCTACCTAAAAACTAACTAAAGCAAAAGGGACTGGGAGCATGGCTCAAGTGGTAGAGCACCTGCCTAGCAAACACAAGGACCTGAGATCAAGGCCCAGTTGCACTGAAACCAATAAAGAAATCAGTAAGTAAGTAAATACCTATTGAATGAAAAAGTGAGGAGCTGCAGGGAACAGAAGACTGGAACAACACGGAATAGAGATCAATCCTGGAACTTACCTGGTGGGCATGGCTTATTTGGGGCCTGCAAGATAATTGGTTCCTTGTGCATTGTGACGATCACGGCTGGCTCAGCTAGGCACTGTAGGGACAAAGCAGGGATTGACCTGGGTGGCTTCTGGACATCACCCATCACAAGCTCAGTCTCACATTCCTTTCCCCCAGCCATCAAAACTCAACAGAACTTGGATCTTTCTCCTCATCCTAAAACTCTCAGCCACTCATTTGTGTTTGTCTTTGCTTCTTTGGGTCGACCTAGTAATATGTACTTGAAAAATCTCTCCTTTATTATTTTCTTTTATTAAAAAATAAATTTGGGGGCTGGAGGATGGCTCAAGTGGTAGAATGCCTGCCTAGCAAACACACAACCCTGAGTTCAAACCTCAGTACTTAACTGTTTGTCCAGAGAGTGGAAAAGTATAGGAAAATTTTTATAAAAAAAAAAAAATCCCATCTGTAATCCCAGCTACTTGGGAGAGATGAGGAGAATCGAGGTTCAAGGCCAGCCTGGGAAAATGTTACAGACACCTTATCTTTCCAGACATGCTGGGTGTGTTAATGCACACCTGTAGTTTCAGCTCCTCCAGAGGTGGGGGTAGGAGGATCCTGGTCTGATGCCAGCCTTGGCAAAGTTCGTGTGGGATCCCATCTGAGAAACTACCTAAAGACTAAAAAGGACTAGGGTGCAGATCAAGTGTAGAGTGCTTGCTAGAGCACCAGGCCTTGAATTCAATCCCCAGAATTGCAAAAATGAAATGAAATAAGATAAAACGAAAGTGAAGTACATCTGGAGGCGTGGCTGAAGTGGGAGAGTGCCTGCTTCACAAGTGTGAGGTCCTGGGTTCAAACCCCAGCACTGCCAAAAAAAAAGAAAAAAGAAAAATAAAGAGATGAAATAATATGAAATTTGGAAACAAAGTGAAAAAAACAAAAGGAAATAAAACGAACTGAAATAAAATGAAATGAAGCCAGGCGCTGGTGGCTCATGGCTGTCATCTTAGCTCCTTGGAAAGCTAAAATCAGGAGGATCACGGTTCAAGGCCAGCCCAGGCAAATAGTTCAGGAGTGCCCCATCTCCAAAATAACCAGAGCAAAATGGACCAGAGGTGTGGTTCAAGTGGTACAGCGCCTGCTTTGTGAGTGAGAAGACCTGAGTTCAAACCCCAGCCCCACTAAATAAGTAAATATAAATAAATAAATAAACAAAAATGAAACAAATTAAAATAAAAATCACTTCCCTTCAACCAGAATTGCATCCTCTACTGCACTGTCTTATGTAGTCTGCTAGTTGACCATACATGTATGAATATTTGTCCTCTTATACAAAAAAATTTTCAAAAACTTGCAGTCAAATATACCTAAGACAAAACTGAACATGTTAATCATTTTAAATTAAGTACATTGTTGTGTTACCAACATACAGGACTCTTTTCATCTTGCAAAACTGAAAGTCTATACCGATTAAACAATTTCTCATTCCTCCATCACCCTCCCAACCCCTGGCAACCTTCATTCTACTTTCTGTGACCTCACTAGTGGAAACATTTCCTTCATTTTTAAGGCTGCATGTTTAGGAATACACTCAGGAGTGGAATTGCTACATCACATGGTACTGCTATTTTTGTTGTTGTTGGGACTGAGGTTTGGACTCAGGGCTTCACGCTTGCAAAACAGGCAATAAATTGTTTGAGTTACACCGTCAATAAATTTTGCTCTGGTTGTGTTGGGGATGAGCTCTCAAGAGCTATTTGCCTAGGCTGGCCTCAAACCATGATCCTCACGATCTCGGACTCTGGCACCCGGCCTCTCTCACATTTTGAACTGGATTTAGTTGTTTAATTCCATGAGTTCTTCACATGCTCTCGGAATTGACCCCTTAGCTCCCCATTTGGTAGGGTGCCTTTTCACCCTACTGATTGTATCTTTTTTCTTTGATGTAAAGTTTTGCGTTTTTATGTATTCAAGTATATTTATTTTTTTTTTTTTTGTGATTCTGGAGTTTGAACTCAGGGCCTACACTGTGAGCCACTCCACCAGCCCTTTTTTGTGTTGGGTATTTTTGAGATAGGTTCTCACCAACTATCTGCTGGGCTGTCTTTGAACTGCAATCTTCTTGATCTCTGCCTCCTAAGTAGCTAGGATTATAGCCATGAGCTGGTGCCTGGCGATCTGTTCTAATCTTTATTTTTGAAGACCTTTGCTAGCTTTGGGCTTGGTCTGTACTTCATTTTCATAAAAAGCTGTAGCTTGTTAACATGTGAATTACTAAGAGATTGAGGAAACCCCCTGTTCCTAATACAATGAGAACTTTCATCAAAAAACTGACAGCTAAATTTTGTCAATTACCTTTTTTGCACCAAGTAACATGTTTTTTCTTCACAATGTTGATATCATAAGTAGCTAATCTTTCAGTGTTATTTCTTGTCATAACAGTGTAATAACTAATTCATCTGTATTCCTGAAATAAACTTCATTTGCTCTGCATAGTGGTGTATGCCTATAATCCCTGGTACTGGGGGGAGAGGAGAAAGAAAGAGGAAAGAGAAGAAAAAAATAAAAACTAACAAGAACACACAGTACTATACTAGGAGTTGATGGGATAGTATAAACTCTATAGTCCTTAAAAAGATAGTTAATGTGCACAACCACCTCCAAAGTTATCTAAAGTTCTAAGCCCAAGCAGACCTAACTATCCTGTGCCTTAGGACAAAAAAATTTATGAACAATAATCTCAATCTATTTCATTCTATTGTGAGCGCAATTTACATTTAACTCTTTTATATCTGGGTTTATTGACCATATGATCTTGTAGACTATTGTGATAAAAAGGATAGTCTAATTTAATTTTCTTCCTAAATCTATGAAGGAATAAGGTTGGTGGGAGTTTTATTAAAAACAATGTTATCTAAATTCAGGTTTTTACAAATATTGGTTTTAAGATACAAATTAAGGTCTTAAAGCTTGTAAGTTTATATATGTGTGATTGGGATAGCTGTAGTTTAAAGTTGGCCTAGAGAGTTTTCTAAGGTCAAATTTTAAGGCACTAATGTGTATTTTAAAATGGGTTCTGTTTTATCAAAATAACTGTTAGGGATTTTTTGAACTATGGGCTAATACAAAATTTTGCCAAAACCAAACAAAAGTTCACCCTCCAGATGGAATGATAAAACCTTAAGTTTTTATTGGGGTCTACTAAAAGATGATTTATCGTAAAATACTAAATTATATGTGTCATTAACTCTCAATGACTGAACCTGTTATCCTTGGCCTTTAGGGGCTGGGTGCAGGTCAAAACAACCCTGCTGTGTGTCCCAAGCCATTCTGTTCACATCAGCAGTCTAGGATGTGATTTCTTATCAACATCCAAGCATGGCTGTCAGTCTCTGGGTTTCCTAACTTTATGCTTACTCCCTTATCTCTGTTTCTGTATCTAATTATTTGAGACATTAATCTTGTCAGTTAAGCTTTCTGTCCACATCTTCTCACTACAGCAAGCAAAGGACACAGGTCTTAGGGAGAACTGACAACAGGCTGTGGGTTTGTATCAGCCAAACCTACCTTGGTGCGATCTGGATTCAAGAGTTAATTCTGTACTGTTTATTAAGATGTTTCTTTTTAACACTCAACAAATTGTCTTCCTTTATATTGTTACTTTTTCATTTTACTTGTTGTTTTTGGTATCAGCCCCTTTGTCCAGTGTAGGAACCCCCATGCAAGGGTGGGGAGATGGACCCTTGGGAGAATGGCTGACTGGAGTCAGGGGCCCCTGCACTTGCTGCTACTTAGTTGGAGACGTTTAATTAATACTGGAGATATCTATGAGACATAGGGAACTTCCTGTGCATGTCGGAAATTCTCCTCTCTCTCACTAAGGAAACTCCCCCTTCCCTTTCCTCTCTCTCCACCAGCCAGCAGAGGAAATTCCATTCGTGCAATGTAGAGGGGTAACCCTCTCTCAAAGGGCAAAATACACCTTCCCTTTCCTCTCTCTCCACCAGCCAGCACAGGGGAAGCTGATATATTCACCACCTGGCTGTATTCTTAAACACTGGAGTGCTTTAATCCTACTAACCAAAAAAAGATGACTAGTTCCCTTCATAGCCCATTTAAAATTATTTATTATTCTTTGCATCCTGCCTAAATTAGTCTCTTGCCAGATACAAAAACACTAAGATATTTTTCTGGTAACGCTGAGAAAAAACTAAACTTAAATAAAGTAAAATTTGTTCTAAATAGTCTTAACACTGCTAGTGCCTTATATGTGTATCTAAATGTTAGAAATTGTTTATAAAGTGAAAAGTGCATGCATGTACACAGCTGTAGTTCTTTTATCTAAGGTACATTTTATCTAATGAGCTCTTTGACATTTCTACTGTTTATGACAAATGCTAAAAGTTCTGCCATTTAGGCCTGGCATCTGTTTGTCAGATAAAGATTGGTTTACTTGACATCTTTTGGCTAGATAAACATGGTTTTATATATGTGAATGTAACTGAACATCAAAACAGGGGCTATTTGAATTACTGACACTACCTTCTCCTAACCAATGGAAAATTTAGGGTTTTTAATTGACAACCACTAAGTTGTTATTTTACGTAGCCAAAATTCAAGGTTTAAACTGTGATGCTGCTACTGGGTGCTTTATATGTTAGGTGTCTTTGTGTTCTTCAAGTATATAATCCTTCTAAAATAGATACAGAAAGACACCTGTACCAAGCTGGTGTCTTAGCCTCTTTTCAAAATTGTAATAAAAAAGTTTAGTAATACTATACTGTCATATTAATTGCTGAACTATTAACCTTAGTTATTTTAAGTTTTATCATTGTAGTTATAATCCTACTGGGAAATTTACAGACAAATCCATGAAAAATGACTCTGACAAGTACTTAGCTATCAACCAGGACTGACACTCTTAAGTATTGGGGTCATTTTATATTTTCCTTGTAGAAACTTTATAACTATTGTCTGTTGACACTTTACAGAACTTTAACGTGTCAGTACATTCCCTATGGGACAGACAATTAGATTTAATTAAGCCCAGCGTAAGAGCCATTTTTTTTTTTTTGTGGTACGAGGGCTTGAACTCAGGGCCTTCACTTTGAGACACTCTGTCAGCCCTTTTTGTGATGAGTACCTTCAAGATAGGGTCTTGCAAACTGTTTGCCCAGGCTGGCTTCGAACCATGATCCTCCTGATCTCTGCCTCCTGAATAGCTAGGATCACAGGCATGAGCCACCAGCACCTAGCTGTAAGAGCCATTTTAAAATAAATCTCTTTGTTTCTTAATTTTAGCCAAAAAGACCGCATTGACACTGACTTCTGATCTGTTAGATTTGTTAGTTCTCCTCCTCTGTGGGATAAAATCTGAATTTCTGGACTTTCCAGGAGATCACTCCTTCTTTGGGGGACAAAACTGCCAAATTGGCAGGCTCTTCAGAGACAACTGTTCAGAGGAATAGTTTAAGAAGATGTGACCCTTGAGTAGTCACCACCCACCACCTTCTTAGAGGAACAGTGGGGTTTAGCCACCCAAGTGTTCAAAATGACTACACAAATGAGAGGACTTCTCCAGATCCAGATGGAGTCAGTTATGTCCAACCTCTAAAAGTAAGCAAAGCCGAGAGATTTTAAAAAGGGGGCTCTTAAAAGAATGTGCTATAAAATTTAAGCCTTTTAGGCTTCTGACAAAAGACAGACCCATGTCTCTGGCCAAGGCCTTCTGTCTAAGTAAAGGCAATATAACTTTCAATGATTCATAACTTCTGCTTAGGGACACCGTGAGTCTTCTTTCTGTACAAAACTGACCCATTGATGCTTACCCTCTAATTGGACTGGCACCTGCCCTCTGGTATACCTGGCCCCTAATGTAGATATTGCCCCCAAACAACTAGTCCTTAACTGCACACTACAGTGGCAGACCAAACAGAGGGCCATCTAAAGGTTAAAAGTAGCTACAGGTAAAAACACCTATAGACAAAGTAACCATAAGACTCAGTCACTTTTCAAAATAAAAAGATTTTTTTTATCCTTCCTGCTACACCTGGCAGGGCCCCTTTTGATGCTCCTCTGATTATTAATGTTTGAGTGATGACTTTTAAGCCAGATTTATCTCTTCGAGGATAAAAGCCTTTAGGACCCAAATCATGAGGCACAGAGCTATTTATCTCTACAGACAAATGAGATCTCCATGAGGAACCTTGCCTGTGCAGAACAATAATTTAGACACCTTGTGTTCAAATGAGCCCCAAGGGAAAGAAGTAGGTGACAACTTCCCTGTGAAGATAGGGTCTGCTGCCCTTGTCAGCTCAAAGCAGATTCAGAAGAAAAAAGAACTCCAGTCCCTCAGCACCTTCACAAAGATTTTTTGGGGATCTTTTCTCTCAGGGGAAATTTGAGGCAGGCTAGGAAGTAGAGAAAGTTCAGGTATTGACAGTACTGACAGCCACTAACTTATTAACTTTACCTAACCAAAATTCAAGGTTGCTGAGCGACGACCCAAACCACCCTCACCTGGCCAGGAACTGCTCATGCCCCTCCCCAGTCACTGATTATGGGATGGGAATCACCTGGTTCTGCCCTTCCCATAGATTAGCGCAAGTTTTAAAAGTACATGAGAAAAAGAAGCAGCTCTCTCTGCTTGCAGACTCCACCTGTGCCTATCATGCTCCCCTTTGTATTTCCTTTCCCTAATTTTTAATAAACTCCATTTACACCCACGTGTCCCGCCATGGTTCTTCCTATGGGACAAAGAATTTGGAAGTCTTCTGATCACAGACTGCACCAGCGCCATTAACACTGTCTGATGCTTCTATTGAGACTAAACTTGTTAATAAGATTTATCTCTTCCAGAATGGAGGCTATCATCTCTGCAAATGGAAGAGATCCCCATAAACAACCTTGATTGGGCTGGACAAAGATTTAGTCAACAAAAACCATCTGGTGAACAAATGAGTCCCAAGGAAAAGTAGCAGGAGAGGTTTCCCTGATAGGGTCTATAGCCCCTTGCCAGCTCTAAAGCAGATACCAAACACAGACCTGCCCTCCCCAGCAATCTCTCCCTGCCACTCCTCCAACCCCCGCCAAAAAAAAAAAAAAAGATTTTCAGGATATTTTCTTTCAGGGGAAGTTGAGCAGGCTAGGAATTGAGATGTGGGGGACTCTGGGCTGGCAGGCACCAGGAGGCACGGCTTTTCCTAGCACATTTCATGCTAAATCCTTTCTCTCAATCCAATGCAGTCCTTTGTAGCTATAAATTTCTTTTCAGTTTTAAATCCTTTACAGTTGTAAGGCAAAAAGCCTGCTCTTGTTTACTTCTCAAGTAAAAGCCTTTTGCTTAAAATATGAATATTGATCACACCTCATGCATGTAATTAAAATATCCAAGAGCTAGTTTAAGTGCATGGGCAGAGTGAATCAAACTTATCAATCACCGTAGCCTGTCCCACAGAAACCACCCAGTTTTTTTCCACTGCTTGCCCTTTGAATTTGTAAAAGACCCTTTAAAAAAGACCAGCACTGGTTTCCATCCCAACTGGCCGGGAGCCACCACTGCTCCGTCTATGGTAACTTTCCCTCGCTTTTTAATAAACTTCAAGCATTTCTGTCCACGCCATGCTTGCATTTCCACACAGGATGTTAGAGCTGAGACATCTTCTAACCAGAGCTTTCCAGAGACTGCCTCATAGGTAATAGTACGGGGTACACCTATTAACACTCCTGACATTTCTCCCTTAGCATATATATTCAGCAATTGAGATTTTAAGGAGAAAAAAAATCAAGGGAAAAAGTTAATTTTACTTAACGATAATGTATGACCAAACCTGATATATTAAATTCCCAGAGCGGGACTCTGGCCTAAGGCTCTAATCACAATTTTGATCATCTGTAAATTAAATAAATAATAAATAAATATAAAATAAGCCTGCTGGCCATAGATTCTAAATTTTTATTGTGGAAATTGCAAGTGGGGGAGGCTGGCCTGCCTAACTAAAGAAAATCTCTCCAGGTGGTGCTGGCATGGATGCTTCTGTTTACTTTGTTGATTTTTGTTTGTTTTTATAGCTCAGCCTGGCCTCAAACTCTGGATGCCCCCACCTCTGCCCTCCTCACCCCCACCCCAAGAGAGTGTCATATCCAGTGGTATCATTGGGTTTTGTTTGTTTTGTTTTCTTCTCCTTAGTTATTTTTCAGATAAGGCCTCACTTGACCCGCACCGCCAGTTCATTCTGCTCTGATTATATTGGAGATGGGCTCTCACAATCTATTTTACCTGGACTAGCCTTAAACCCTGATCCTCTTGATTTCAACCTCCCAAGTAGCTAGGATTACAGGCATGAGCCACTGCCCAGTAGGCGTCCCTTTTTGGCCAGCGGCCTCCTATCTAGTGCCTCCTGTGTGGCTGAGATTGCAGAAGTGTACCACTGCTACCAGGCCAATGACTAATCGGTTTTTGAGATACCCTAAACATGTCCCTTGGGAAGGGGTAATAAGGAGTTGGGTGGAAGTGGGTACTGGCCAGGGCCTGAGGTGACAGGATGAAGTCCTCAGGCCCTCCACCCACACGGCAGGCTCCAGCTCTCTTCCCTGTGCTCACAGGTCCATCTCTTGCCTGGCCCCACCCACTGTGGAACCTGCTTGCTACTGGAAAATTTATTGCTAGTAAATAGCTCAGTTCTTTTATTTGGCAGGAGAAGAATCCAAGCAAGATGAGAAAATATAGTAAAAATGATAGTAAAATTTATTGGGAATGAAGGACTGAAGGACGTACTGCAGGAGGTCCCAAAAGGTGATAAGTGATCAAGGAGACACCGCTCTTTCCTAGGAAACCTCTGTCTGCACCTGAGAGACATCTCTGCCCCCAGGCAATGCAAAAAAAGGCTATAAAACCCAATCCCCAACCTGACTCACGGGATCAGCGGTTTCTGGGTCCCCCTGCATTCCCCAATATGCAGGGGGAATGCATATTCTTCTCTTTTCTCCAACTAAATTCTCTACAAATAAAATCTTTCCGACCTCTGCTGTTGGAGTCCGCCTGTGCTTTCATCCTCAGAGTGGGCTCAAGAACCCTGAGTACCTGAAATTCCTGCGCGTGTCATCCGTGGATTTTAGTATAACAGGATAAAAGTGGGGAGAAGGGAAAAAAGGGAGAAACATTTCCTGCCCTCCATGAAGGAAATGGGAGTAAAGACTCAAAAGAGTGGTCCCATCTCTTAGACTTATACTTTTGGAAAGCTGGGGGGATACACATGGTCAAAGATCATGGATCTGGGTGGCTAAGATGGGCGCTAAAACAGGAAGGTGTCACCAGGCCTCCTCAAATCACAGGAACTATAGGGGTGCTGTAGGACTTCCCTTTGCTAGATATGTCTTTTATTCTTTGTGGCCCTCCATCCATCCAAGGAGCCTTGGAGCTTGTTAACATCTCACAGAGAGAAAGGTGGATGTCCTTAGGAGGCGTGGCTAGCTGCTCTGACTTTTTAGTTTTACTTTCCAATTTTAATGTCTGAGTCTGGCCATTTTACTATTTATTAAAATAACATTTCCTTGTCTCCCCATCTGTCTATCCCGCCTCACCCATCATTCATGGCTACCTAATAAGCTGATCTCCCAACTCTACCATGATGGTTTCATCCTGCCCAGGCATGCCCTACTGCAGGTGGGCGCTATCTGGCACTCTGACATGTCCCCCAGTCCTCCCATTTCCCTCCCAGCACAAAGACTCACCAGTAGGGCACAGACAACACTGAAGATAAGGATGTAAAGGACCCTGAGCCAATGCCTGGCCATCAGGGCTGGCTTGGGGCAGGCAGTACACCTTGAAGTGTGTCCCAGATGGTCCACGGAGTTAGCAGATATTCTTTGTACTGGGTCCTGAGGCTCAGCTCCCAAAATCAGTGCAGAGTAACAATGAATTTCATGGGTGCTGCACTTTGCTGAATGCTTGGCCTTCTGTGTTTCACACTCCTCCCAAGAGCTTTGTAGATGTCGCAGGCAGGCCTTGGCTTTTATACCCTAGATGTTGCAATAGCATAGGTTGCGTGTCTTAGGCAGGAAGTCTGTGGACAATCAAGCTCCTGATCTCAGCAAAGGCCAGTGTCCAAAGCACCTCCCCTTCCTGTTCAAGAATTTGTTTTTGTCCTTTTTTGTGGTTCTGCAGTTATGAACACAGGGCTTCCTTTTTTTTTTTTTTTTAAGTCAGGATTTATTGTAGCATAACAGGATAAAGTATAGATAAGGGGTGGGGGTAGGCAGGCTAAAATTAAGGAAAGTTTGGGACTCATAGAAATTTAGTATTATATTTCAGACTGACCACACTTTGTCTTAGGGACCACCCTCACCTGGTCTGGGAACCACCCTTTCCCACTCCCCACATTGACTATTGGGTGAGAATCACCTGGTTCTTTCCTTCCTATAGGTTAGCATAAGTTTTAAAAGCATCTGGAGGAGAGAAGCAGCTCTCTCTGCCTCCAGATTTCACCCGAGTTCCACTATGATCAGCTTTGTATTTCCCTCTCCTAATTTTTAATAAACTCCATTTATACCCACGTGTCCTGTGACGGATTCTTTCTTTCGGGGACACAAAGAATTTGAAGGTCTTCTGATTTCAGACTGCACCAGTGCCATCAACATTGTGGCAAAGCCAGGCAGGAGTTAAAGGGTAAGACCTCAAGATGCTATGTTTATTGACTTGTTTTCTTCCAACACACCTCTCCCTGTCCTCTGGCCCTGTGCCCTTCCACCCATTGCTTGGAGACAAGCACCACACCAGGGCTTGGACGTGCTCCAAGGTCCTGGGGGCACAGGCCCCAGGGGACACACCACGTTAACCCATGGAACCCCTCCCCTGATGTGTGGACCTCTTATAGTGAATCAGTGTCTCACCCAGAGCTTGCTGCTGGGAGATGCTGGGATGTGCTGCATTAGCCCACACACATGTGGCATGAGGTGTGCGGAGCCTGCGTGTCCCCACAAGCCTCTGCTGTGGCCATGTACTGTAGACACACAGCCAGGGAGGGTAGAACTACAGGGATGGCCAGTGCCACAGGGCACAACTGCACCATCTGGCCAGGGGGACTGCGTGGTCAGGACCACCAGTGAGGCCTTAGGTGCTAGCTGAGGCAGCCTCTGCCCCAGGCCTCAGGCTGGACCCCTCTTTCCTGCAGCTGTCATGCATCTGTACCCTTCTCTCTTTTCCTCTCCCCAATTCTCCTCCCTCTCTGACCCTCAGACCCAGACAGTCACGTGGCCCAGAAGGCATGATAGCCATGGTGGGCACCAACCATGGCTTCTCCCCGGGTACTTGGGCTGGGTTCCTCTACCTGTCCTGTGCTATGGGCCACCAGATGAAGTCTTGAAGGGTGAGTTGAGGTGTACACTCCACCTGACTATTCTTCAGAAGTGCCCTTTGATGGTTCTTGCCTCTGGCAGAAGATTCAGTAAGGTAGTAAGGTAGGTTTGTTGGGAAGGGAATATACTTTCAACAGACTGAAAGCAGGTTGTCTCTAGAGTGAGGGCAATGGGGTCAGGTTTTAAGGTTGAAATATTTACTAAGAAACTCTTAGTTGTGGGTCCTTTTGGCCCCTGGGGTGATTTCCTGAGTTTGGGTCATGTCTTAATAAGAGAGATATTGAGTAATCCACTGGTTCTGCTCTAATTGATGGAGAATTTCTGTTTGAAAGTCCTAACCTTTGCTCTGTCTAGCTCCTAGGTTTAGGTCTTTGTTTTGTTATATTTACTTGTGAAAACCTCCCTGCCCCAGACATAGTTGTTTAGGATGTGGGTTACTTGTGGGTACAGAGTGAATTAAGCTTTAGGATGGTGGCTGAATTTTGAACTTCTCTGGGCTCTGGCAACCTGATCTTAAATAGAGATTAGTGGAGTTAATAAACTAAATTAAAATGATTTCTTCTTGTTTTTCTCTCATGGCCATATTGTCATCCTCTGGGAAAATTATAACTAACTTGTGCTTAACATTCTCTAAATTAATATAGTTTTAATACATTAATTGTTGATTGGGCAAAGAAAGGATATTTGTGTTAAAGATCTGTTGTAAACTACTTATGAATCTAACTGATTAACCTACTAAAGATAATGGCAAAAAAGTGATATGAGTGCACTCTGAATTAATGTGACTATTTTGTGTGTCTTGTGTGTGTTTTCTGTGTATGTCTTTGTCTTCTACTAATTGTGAACACTGAATTTTTACTTTTTTTGACCTCATACATGCGCACTTAAATTGACATTTTTTGGCATGCCTAAGTTAAAACATCTGTATGTGTGTTTAGATGTCTTTAGGATGATTCTAAAACTACTTTTATAGACTTAATGTGTAAAACTGTCTCAGAAGTTATCTAAAGTTCTAATCCCAACTAGGCCTACCTATCCTGTGCCTTAGGACAAAAAAAATTATGGAGATTCTCCATTTGTTTCCTTCTATTGTGAGTATAGTTTACATTTAACTCTTTTATAATTAGAATTAACCCATGTGTTCTTGTAGATTACTATTAATAAAAAGATAACTTACTTTTCTTCCTGAGCTTTTTAAGCTATAAGGTTTCTAAGAGTTTTATTAAAAACAGTGTTATCTAAATTTGAGTTTTTAAAAGGTTGTTTCAAGATACAAACTAAGATTTTAAAGCTTGTAAGTTTATATATGTATGATTGGGTTGACTGTAGTTTAAAGTTTGCCTAGAGAATTTTCTAATATCAAAATTTTAGGTACTAATATGTATTTAAAAATGGGTTTCTGTTTTATCAAAATAACTGTGAGGGATTTTTGGTACTATAGGCTGATCTAAAATTTTACCAAAACAAAAGTTCATTTTCCAGATCGGATGATAAACCTTAAGGTTTTATGGAGGTCTACTAAATGGTGATTAATCCTAGAATACTGAATTGTGTGTGTCATTAACTCTCAATGACTGAGCCTGCTATATTTGGGTTCTAGGGGATGCATACAGGTCACCAACCCTGCTGTGTGTCCCAAGCCATCGTAGGATGTGATTTCTTATCAATATCCAAGCCATGACTCTCAGGCACTGGCTTTCCTAACTTCATTTACTCCCTTATCTCTGTCTCTGTATCTAATCATTTGACACATTAATCTTGTTGGTTTATTATCTTTTTTTTAAAAAATGTACTTGTTCCCCCAAAAGGATTTTCTATTTCTACTTTTACTAATTCTCCAAAATTATTCAGTTTTCTGGTACTGAGAAACTGTTTCCCCATTATTGACTCCTAACTTCCATCAGTCCACTTTACCTTGCTGTGATTTGGATTTGATAGATAATTTTGTACTGGTTACAAAAGTTCATATGAAGATATTTCTTTTTAACACTCAACAGACTTTCTTTGTTGATATTGTTATCTTTTCATTTTACATGGTTTTTTTTTAATCATCCTCTTTGCCCAGTGTATAGTAGTTCTGATGTTTTAATAGTTGGGTTGGCATTCAGGGTCAGCATCCCATTCAGGAACCCACATGCAGGGGTGTAAGAGACTGGCCCTTTGAAAATGATAGGAAGTTAGGATATCTGCCACTTGTTTCACAGAGACATCTGCTTAGGGCCCTTTATGGCAATCCAGGGCAGAAGGACCTGCAACTGACACTACCTTGATATGGGACAGACACCTTGAGTATCTTGGAAAACTCTCGCTCTCTTGTAAAGGGCAATTTTCTTCCTCCCCTTTCCCTTTTTCTCTCTCTACAAGCCAGCATAGGGAATTCCATTCAGGAGAACTTGTGTAGGGGTGGTGGGGTGACACTCAGGAGAATGGTTCTCTCTTAAAAGGTAGATTTTTCTCCCTTCCCTTTCCATGTCTCTCCACCAGTCAGCATAGGGAAAGCCAACATATTCACTTGGCTCTATCCTTAAATATTGGGAGTGCTTTGATCCTGCTAACCAAAAAAAAAAAAGACTAGCCCATTTAAAATTATATACTATTCTTTGCATCCTACCTAAATTAGTCTCTTGCCAGACACAAAAACCCTAAGGTATTTTTCTGGTAACACTGAGGAAACTAAGTTTAAGTTAAGCAAAATTTATTTTAAATAATTCTAATGCTGCTAGTGCCTTGTACATGTATCTAAAGTTATTTATTGAGTTATTTATTGAGTTAAAAGTGTATGCATGTAAACACCTATAGTTCTGTTATCCAAGGTACGTTCTATCTAATAAGGTCTTTGGCATTTCTGCTCTGTATGCCAAATGCTAAAAGTTCTGCCATTTAGGCCTGACATCTGTTTGTCAGATAAACATTGTTTTATCTGACATTGGCTAGATAAACATTGTTTTATATATATGATATGCAATTGAGCATTAAAACAGAGGCTACGTGAAATTACTGACACTGACTTCTCCTAACCATTGAAAATTTTAGGATTTTAATTGTCAGTACTGTGTTGACAGTACTTGAACTCAGAGCCTCAGACTTGCTAGGCAGGCGCTCTACCACTTGAGGCACTCCTCCAGCCCAAGAACTCTTTACCTTCTGTCCTCTTCCACTACCTCAAGTCCCTTTCCCCAAGCAGAGGGCTTGGCCTGAGCATCCTAGTTGCAGGTACCTAGTGCATGGGTGGACAAAATGAAGGATACAGAACAGTTTAAGAGACGCTTAAACTGCTTTTGCTAAAAATCTCTGATTTCTCAATTGGGCCCATGAATTAACTAAAAACAGCAGGAAAATTGGCATCTTTGTCTCCATTTTGTACCCAGTGTCCTTTGTTCTGAGCCATTCTCTCCTGCAACCACCTGTAATCAAGGAAGGACAGGAATGATCAATAATATTTTTATGAGAAGTTACTGAAACTATCCCTAAAGAACAGTGGAGCCTTGCAGGACAGAATCTTCCCCACCTCAAACGAGGACATGTCTGCACCCTGAAGCAGCAGTAACCATCTCATGGCAACCAGATTGCTCCACTCAAGTGAAGACAGTGATTTTTTTTTCAGGAACCCAATTTCTCTGGAACTCGCAAAGAACAAGGGCACACCTGTAACAGGGGCTGTTTCTGCATAATTTTAAAAAA